CGGGCCAATGCTTTTACACCCCAAAAACCCCAAGGTGTAAATGGAGCAGCAGCGCAGACAGAGTGGATTGCAAGGAAGGACACTTACAGTCGAAATAGCTGCTGAAGGTATCTAAAAACTTACAGCCCTAAAGCCCTAAACAAAGGGCATTTCAATATGTTATTGCTAAGCTGGTTATTTTTGAAGAGTTTCTTTTGTTAATGCTGTAAGTTTCGCAACGCAGCCTAGCGAAGCTCTACTGTAGCTGAACGGTATTTACAGGCACTCAATGTGTCCAACTAATCGAGCCGACAGAGATACAACGCATCTAATAGTCTTTGACCAGGAGCAAAGGATGCGGATGCGGATGCGTTTCACCCAAGTGCTGGATGTGGATATTTTAAATAATTTATCAAATGCCATGTCGTGCTGTGGCATTGTTGATGCTCTTTCGGCTTCTTTGGCTTGTAATGAAATTAAATATTGATGCAGGCGCTTGCTGGCCAAGAAAAATACTAAATATCGGAGGAGCAAAACCACAGGCCTAATAAAACTGCTCATGGGCATTAGGTAATCAAAATGTTAGCCAAGTCGAGCCATTTTACGCAATTTTACAAATTCAACTCTCCGTCCTTCTATATGTGCATAGAACCCCGCTTCAGCCCCCCCTTGACCCGCACTGTCTTGAGTTCTGTCCGAGTCATTTTATTACTTTGAGCATTTTTGAGCATTTGGGCAAATACTTTTCATGCATTTTTAAATTGAAGCAATTATGAAGCAACTGGCTTAGTAAAGACATTTTTGTCTCCTTTAATTGGCAGCCGAGCTGCAGTATTGAGCTGCATTTTGGCAGTCTTATGTAAGAGCCGACTGGATTGTAAAATCTTCATCTTCATCTGGCCGAAAAGTTGTGCACAGAAATTCATTTAACAATTTGTGGTTTCGCACACTAATTGTTTGTCGAAAAAACGGCACAGAGCAGGAATGCAAGAAAGAAATATAACTTGAAAAGTGTATACAGTTGAGGTGTCCAAGCAAACCGATAAATTGGTTGGCAATTATAAGCCAAATATTTGCATATCTCCAATGGTCCTATTCCCAATTCAAATGGAATTAGAGAGGCTTCTGGTATCATTATTGCCATAGGGTTAAATGTGCGCTTCGAGTTAAAGTGTCTGCTTTTTTATGGCAAGCAAGAACAGACATTTGCTCGATAAGAATCACAAATAATATTTTCAGGTGCAGCCACAGCCCATATATAATAATCCTAATCAACTTTGGCAGTGTTTGAACATCATTTGATGCGAAATTATTTCAATGCAATATTTCACTGTTCGCTTGACTCTCCCTGCAAAATTGAGACCGGCTTACAAGGTCAAAGGGCGTGCAGACAATCGCTTTGTGCATTCATCTCACTGAACTTTTTCTTGTAAGTGCTACGCACTGACTTACTGGCACAAAGGCATTAGAAACCTGCCGGAGTTACTGAAAAACTCAAACAAAACGGCGTTGAGCGCCCCAAAAAGTGTGCTTTAAGTTTTGCATTACTTGTGGCACTAGCGTTTAACTAGCCGTGACTTTTGAGCATTTAACTCCGAGCTCAAGTGCAAAAGTTGGGCTAATCCCAGATTAGCCAATAAACTACGCGATGCTCAAATATTCCGCAATGGATAAGTGGGTAAACTAATTAACAAAGCAACTTGGTCTTATGACCAGTAAATTGCTGAGATTCAATAAAAGTTAGAAGCAAGTTTTTAGCACAAATATTAACTAAAGTGTACCTAATGCGAACATTGATATTTTATTGCATAAGGGTCATTTACAGTTACCACTTTTTACGTTTCGTTAATTTGTAATAAATTGCCGCAGTTGATTTAGATGCTTTCGGCGAAGCTTTTATCTAATGTGCACTCAACAAATGGCCCATAATGCCATATTATGAATATTTCCAATTTAGCCAGGCCACAATTGCGTATGAACACATGTAAGCACAACCAAAAACACACGTAATCGTGCGAATCGCGTGAAAATATCACAGGCCCATAGAATAAAATCTGTTAATGACAATAAAGTGTAAAAACATTAAATGCTGTAATTGTCGAGTGCATGGAAATGAAATTTGTAAAACCCCAACCACAACACACCTTCGCCCATCCCATCTTATGCAATGTTGATATTGTATAATTTGCACAATGTGTCGCCTGTAGACCGACCGAGTTATGTTTGTTAATTTCCATGTTGTAAATAAATAATTAAATTACTTTGCAGTGAAATGCCTCGTAATGGGCTCCACACCGGAAAGAGACCCAATAAAATACACAACACAGATATTAAGTTGTTTTTAATGTGCTCGAAATGCTCTCATCCTGTGCAGCTCTGTGGGTTCTGGTTGGGTTCTGGTTGGGCCATGGTTCTGGGATCTCTGCGAGTCCATCACTGGGCCAGGCCATCATCATTCTGCCAACAAAATCGAATTACTTCCGTATGTTGTGGCATTGTGAGCACTGGCATTCATATATATCCCCAATTCATGCCGCACAACAGCACGGCATCCAGTGCAGCTCCATCTCGACACTTCACTTCACTTGTCCTTGTCATCCGTTACAGGCCGCCCTTTGGCACCCGCACTTGCCTCATATTTTCCCGGCTTTTCCCACCTCCCACCGCCCAACTTGTTGGACTTTTGTAACGGTTCTGGCTCTGGCTGTTCATCAGGCTGCAGTCGCAGCAGTTCGGCTTACACACAATTTACAAAATAACCTCAATCCCCACCCAATCCCCCGCTGGAAAACTGCCTCCCTGCCCGCAATGGCCCTCCAGTCAGTCACTCAGTCAGTCGACTGGGAGAGTGTGTAAATTGTCTTGTGTAAATATGCAAATTTTTCTTATTTTCATACCCTGAAAGGGGGTCTGCCCACTGCAACAAGAACTTTACAAGCCACTCGGCGAAATGCAGCTGAACTACTGCTGTTTTATGAAGTCTCCTGAAAGCTGCGCTTTGGTAAGGACTTTTTTGGAAGTGTTGTAAGACTAAGCTAACTGTGCGACATAAAATATATTTAAACCATTTCTGCAGCATCAATTGGGGTATTTTCAAATGTGGTTTTTCCCTGCTAATCCAAAGCTATATAACATTTTCAAGTCATCACTCATTCTTATCCAACCAATATAAAATAAATCGAGTTTCTAATCTTAAATGAATATTCTTGCATTGTTATCAATGGCTGTTACATTTTAAACCTTTAAAATAAAAAGTGTTAAATGATTTTCCTCCAATGTCTTAAATATTTAGCTTTCTAGCTCCTAAAAAATAGCTCCTTGTGGGCATTTTTCGAGCAAGGGTATCAGCACATCGACTTCCTGTGGCGTATCCTGTCAATCCTGTTTTTATTGTCAACGTTGTTGTTATTGTCTGAGCGAGGCTAGGGATCGGGGCGCGGTGGGCGGTGGGCGGGGCGCTGGCAGTTCGTGTAAACAAACCAAGGCGTCGGATTAAAAAGTTTTGCATTACAAAGAGTTTTCGGTGGACGGGTGAGGGGACGAGGCGGGGGGACGGAAGCTTGGAAAAATGTTTTGATTATTTAACTGCAAGTTACGATAAAACTAATTGCAATTACAAGCGGACGCTTTCCCTTTATGGCCCCTAATGAAATTGGCAATGCCAAGGCTGACGATTCAGCACAACTCAAATCAAACTCGGACGCAAACTTCGCACTGCAATTTTATTGGCTCGGTTCAATTTGAATGCTTTGCTTTCTTTGTTGGCCTCTGCATAAATTTTCCTCGGGCAATATTGATTTCCATTACAAATCCAATATTAAACTATGCCCCTGAGAGCGATTACTCGATTTCTACCGTTTTGCTTACTTACTTAAACCTTTTGTAACTCACCGAAATTGAGGACATGGCCAGGACATGGCCAGGATGCACCCGGCCCACAGATTTGGAGTTATTACAAAGGATCATTAGGAGAGTAGATATATTCTCCCTGCGGTCTTGTCGTTTAATCTCTGGAAATATTTACTACACCTAGCTCATATTTTTGGGGCTTTTAAAAACGAATCTTCTAAATTTATGTTGGCCGGGGGAGATGGAAGAATATTCAAATATATTATTGAATATAAATTGGTAACACGGATTAGCCAGGCTGCAATTGAGTTTGGACTAGTGAACTCTTCAATAAACTGAATCAAATAAAGATGAAGGCATCTGATATTTCCTAATAAATATAAGAAACTAAAACTTGAATTGTTTTAAGCCACCTTTAATTGTGTTGTAATTTAATCCCAAGACTTTTTGGGTTATGAGTAAGCTTTTTCACTTCACACGTCAATTACACTGGTTAATTAAAAAATGATTGACTATCAGGACTTTGATTTTATGTTTAGACTTTCTAGAAGACATTTTAGACTTCTATTGTGATTATTTTAAGTATTAAAGGTACCAAAATGAATTATTCAATTATTGGTTTGAACCTAATTTTATCAAACAAAATTTAGATCGTATATTTGCTGTAATTTATATAATGTATTTTATACATCTGTACCTTTTTGAATGGCTGAATAATTTATAAATATTTTAGCAGATTAAAACTAATTTAGCAAAATTTATAACGTATTGGCCAATTACTGAAATCTTTAAGTGAATGAATAATTTTAAAATATTTAAACAGATTAAAACTAATTTAGCAAAATTTATAACGTCATTAAGAATAATTTAAATCTTAATAATTTAAATTTAAACCTACTTGATAAACACATACTAATGAGCACTGAACACATTTTTTAGAACCACTTTATACAATTTCTAGCGACTTTCTTTAAATAAATATTTCTGCTGAGAAAAAGAGCATTAAAAATGTTTTTTAATGCGGGTTTCGTACCTATGCCCTTAACGTACTCCACAAACCACTTAATACAATTTAACCAACACAAAATCTGTTCTCAGCAGTGCATATTACCTGCACTTTAGGTAACTATACACCGAAACCTGGCTCTTGGTGGCCGGGAACACAGACTCACCTGCTTTTATTTGACCTTATGCGGCTGCAACTTGTTGACTTTAATGAAAATGCACTCAGAGGCTGACTGGCACACACAAAACGATGGCACAACAAGTTAATATGTATTAGCTGGTCGCTAGTATGTCTCTAGTAGCTTGGCTTAAAACGGCACTCCAACAGAAAAAAAAGGACAAACAAAATCGGGCGGCACTCGCACACAAACGTACGCACACAGTTGCAAAACAAGTCAAGCGCGAAAGTACCGACTAAAACATGGCTAACATGTCTGGCTAATTGGCGTTTCTAGCGCCGATTTTTACAGCGTTCTAGCATTTATGTAAGCTGAATGTAAAACGCTTTACAGGACCTCAAAGTCTGGATTGGATTGGATTGTTGTGGAATGTTGTGGCAGGTCGTTCGGTATGTCGGCTGCTGATGTCCTTCGAAGGGATTGTGTGAGCTGTGCGTCCTTGCTGAAGGAGCCGCCGCGTCCAACTGACTGCTGCTGGATGTGCAAGCTGCGATTGTTGCAACCACTCTGCTGTCGTCGCAGCACCAGCGAGGCGCAGCAGCAGCCGCAGCACGGCGGCAGCAGCAGCGGCAAACGCAAAGGCAAAAGCAGCAGCAACACATAAACGCAGTACATGGTGGGTTCGGTGGAATACATATACATGCTCGTTGCTGCCGAAGTTCCTTGCCGTCGAAGGGTTGTGTAGTTGCACTTGTAGTTGCTCGTGTTGCAACACACACGGAGCAGCAGCAGCAGCAGCGGCAGCAGCACCACCACCACAGCAGCAACACGACATCAACTTCGGCCCACATTGTGCAATTGGCTTAGTTCCCAGTCAACAACTGGCCGCCTTTACAGTGCCCGTTTACAGCGGAGAGAAAGGCTCTCTATATCTGTCCCGCTCTCTTTCTCCTGCTTTCTCTCGGAGGCTTTTCCCGAACAGCTGTTCGCGCTTGCCGGCTCTTATCAGTGAAACGCTAACAGCTTCTGTTAGCGTGCAAGTGCACTTTCCTTCCATGGCTTTCCGCAGTGGCTTTTCTTTTCTTTTCCTTCCTCTTCCTGGCCTTACTTTCATTTCCGTTCCTTTCGGTGGGGTTTGATTTATTATGTAAAAGTACAAGGACGCTGCCACATACAGTGGATGGCGCCTATGGAATGCGCTTATCAAATCGAATATTGATTACGGCTAAAATGACTTAAAACAGACTTTAAACTCTACGAAAACAATAATCAAAGTGAGTTCTGGAAAACTATACAGCAATTTAATACAAACCAAACAAAATTGTAAAATCAAAGACTTCGATTAAAATGAAGCAACCATTACCAAGGATTTTGATTACAGGGTGATCACTGTACTTGGGAGCTGCGTGTGCGTGCCAAGTGTTGGACAAACAAGCTGAGCACTAAAGCCGGAATACATTTGAGACACTTGCAATCGACTTAATTCGTGGCGAGGAGCCCCGGGGGAAGGACGAGCAATATGAAAATGGCTTACCGCAAAATGCAGATTGCGAAATGGCCAATTGGCATAAGCAGCTAGCCACCTAATTGCCCGATTAAGCCACCTTAAAATCGCAAAGAGCCAGACATTAATTACACGCAGTAAATACCACGCATCGGTTTACTGGGCGATGATAAAATCTATTATTAGCGAGGACGAGTGGAAAGTTTTGCACCAAGCAACGTTGGCTGTTGCCAACCGGCGCTGTTAGCAGAGCGCTGCTAAAGGACCTCTGTTAAGTGGGCCGCACGTGTTTCTCTCTCGCACGCACACAGCGAAGCGGATTTTTTGATTCTGTTTTGATTAATAGCTTCGTTGCAAGCTTATCAGGCGCCCCCACACACACAGGCGCCCAGCCAGGAAGTGCAACAATGTCACGTGGCCGGCATTTGCCGAAGTCTCTCGCAAGGACCTTCGCTCGCTCTCGTTCCGAGCTGCCCCCGTTTTCTCTCTCTGTAAGGCCTGCGCTGTTTACAGCAGTTAACTTTTTTCCAGCGCCCTGCAATCGAACATGTTGCAACTACCCGTCTCTCTTGCGCATTTCCCCAGCCCCTCGCGAAGCAACAACAAATAAACAAAATAAACAACAACAAATATGGCACGAGCAGCAAAAAATCGAGTATTACATAAGTCGGTGCTCCACCTACGCGAATTGGATATAGTTGGCCCTATGTGAGTGTCCTATATGGAAGATCGGGTATTTTTGTCGGTTCCTCGCTTTTGGCGAATGAAAACTGCGAAATTTCATTGTTCGTTTTAATTGCCAAGGAGCCTGGCTTAACTGCCACCCAATGTGGCATGCATTTGGGGGCATGCGATAGTCGGGGAAATCACCGATTTGAAATTAGCCAGCAATGAAGCGTAATCAAAATATTATTTATTCATTTTTGCTTGCCATTCATTCGGTTGTGACCTCATTTCTTGCATTTTAATTTTTCTTCCTTGAGAATGGGCAATTCGTGTTTCAATCCTAAGCTTGGAACAGTTTGTAGACTGGAATTGAATATATACACAACGTATCAAAATTTCCTAAATTATATGAATATAATATTGATATATAAAAATTAATATAAGAAGTTTTATTTGAGGGGATTAACCTTTTTTTAAATGTGAAAATCGGCTCAGGGTATTATTTTATTGTTCTATGTGGTCTTTTGTCAATTATTTTTTATTGCTAGATTATTGTGCAAAAAAAAAAACACAAAAAATAAATTATTTACTTATTAAAGATGATAGCATAGTTTACAAAACTAAGACTAACATAACGTTAGTAGTACTAACTACGAGGCCGTCGACTACATACATCAAAACATAATATATTTTGTCATTCTGTATTAATCTATTATGTTTTAAATTAAAAAATTGCTAAGCAACCATCCATCAATTTTGCAACCTATTTTAAAAATAAATTGATAAGATGATACAAAGCCATAATTAAAACGAGTATGGTAAATTATTGGTTACGTGGTATTGCAATATTAAGCTGACCACATCCAACAAATGTTACTGATTAAATATTAGAAATATCTCTTAAATATTTATAATATTTTATTAATTCATTAGAAACTACCTTTTTGTATTTAAGTCATATTAAGGCTTCTACATACCAAAGTAACTTTGATATTTAACATATATTATTAACATATATAAAATATGGACTTTGCAACTTCAATAATTTGGCAGTTATTGTGATTTTTTCTGTTACCCTAATGAAATGGCAACTAAAAATCAAAAGATATGGAAAAATGTAATATAGTAGCAATAGTAAATTAGATTTTTAAAGTTTTAGGCTCTTAAAATTATATTCATGAACATATGTGAACATGTACTATATATATGAATCCAAATTGGAGCTAAAAGCCATATTCCTTTTTTGATATTGTTGGTTAATTAAAAAAAAATCAAGCAGCAATTTAATGCCGCTATAGAACTAATAAGAAACTGATACTGAGCATTATGCAATCCAATTAATTAAAATAAAATCTCTTTATAACCAACTTAATGCAAACGTCACACATCTGGTTATAGCACAATTATTTCGTTTGGAGTAAGTATTTGAGTTAATTAGATTATGGGCATTTTTCAAACCTATTTATTCTCAATTTTATTTGCCACAAAATAAAGATAAAATGCGAAACATTCAACCAGAAATTAAAGCCTTGGAACGGCGAGCTGAACTGGGTTGCAGCCGTGCGCAAACTCCTCCCCTTGCAACATGTTGCAGCGTAATCGCTTCCCCTGCCGAATGCTCGATGATGTTTGCTGTGTTGCACTGGTGGCTTTTTCGGGGGCTTCGCAGTGGTTTCGGTCGGATCCGGGCTGGTGGTGTGGGCTCCCTACAGATTTTGCATTTACTCCGCTGCCTTTTTGGCCATTGCCAGGACTCTTGTTGCAGTACGCAGTACATGTCACCTACATACACGCACACACGCACACACACACACGGCGCAGGCACACACAGACGGCACACATGCGTGGCTCGTTTACATAGGAGCCGGCCAACCAACGGCGTTCGTCCATGTCGCCTACACAGTGGCGGGTGGCCTTGAGGGGGCGCCACCAGTGGGCGGTGGGCGGCGGAGGGTTCGACACTCTCATTCGTCGGCGGAGCTCAAGGACCCCCATTCCGCCCACCGCTCTTTCGGGCCATACAATGTTGCTCGTTTGGGTCTCGTGATCTCGGGCTTTCGTAACCGAAATGCCAAACATACAGCGGGGGCGGGCGCAGGGGCGCAGGGGCGCAGGGGCGCAGGGGCGTGGCATGCAGCATTCGAGTCTTCGCGACGAATGCGTAAAGTTTACAAAAAATATCCTTGCAACAAACTGCATTTAAATCTCCTGCTCTTTGGCTTCATCTGCGTTTTTTATCCTTATTTCATGTATTTATTTGCCTCTGCTGTTTGCTCTTGTTGCCTCTTGTCATGTTTTTATTTGATAGCTCCAAGCCATTTAGCGCTCTGTTTGCGTGGCATAAATTTTAACCCTAATTAAATGCAATTTATATTTAAATGGCAGCGAAGTTAATCAAAATGCCTTACTCTGCTAAATTCGAATGAATTTTTTACGTTTTTTAACTTTCATTCAGTGCTGTTTTGTTTGGCTTTACAGTTTTCTTTCCTTTTAGTTCTTTTTTAGTTTAGTGTAGTTCAATTACACAGCATAAATAAATATAAAATTAAACAATATAAAATAATTGTCCAAAAAATAAAGCACTCACTGTCAACTTGTATAAATTCTATCAGTACTAATATTTGAAAGTCTTTCATTTTGAAATTGTAAGTACTTGTTTCGAGCGAAATACCAATCAAATTCTTCGAGGACTCACAATTTGGCTAAAATGAATGGATCTCCGAGAATGACATGGTCAAATGCTAATGAGTTATGATATGATGGAATTGAATATCCTTTTATGGGAAATATTGAATGTTTTTAGTCTTAAAAGCAGCCAATTCTGTGGATACCAAAATTATATGGATTGCTGCTCCGTTTAGCAATTCAGCCTTGCTCGTAAAAAAAGCTTTTTACAATTTTTCAGTGAATTTGTAGTTTAATAAACTTTAGGGAAAGGTCCCTGGCCAAATGTGGCTGAATAATATTTTTATATTAATATTTGCTAATTTTAATCTACTTTCAATCGCTACAATTAAATATATAGACCTTTCACAAATAGAATGATCTCAGTTAGCTTCAGTTTAACCCATTTAGTAACTTCTAAATAATTGTGAAGTAACTTCACATATTTGTGGTTAAAAAGATTTCATAACTGTTTGATTAAGTGTTCACTGAACTGGCAGTCTTCTGGTAAATGATTGGGAATAATTGAAAATAAAATTTGTAAATATTCAATCTTTGGAAAGCGAAAGAGATCTGCGGATAAAAATCCCTCTCCAAGAAATCCGCAATCTAAGTAGAGCTGCTTATCTGCTGAGCTAAACAGGCAGCAGCCAAAAACAAAACCCAAACTAAGACTAAGCTCGAGGAGAA